GTACAGCAGGATCACTGCTACTCCTATTCTGGTGTTTTTTATTAATGATAATAAAGTGCAGCTGAAGGCACAAGTTGTATGTGAGCATGAGAAACTCATTGAAACTGCTGTTTATTTAGCTTGTTGAAAGGTTGTCTGTATTTTAACTCCTCTTCCTCTGTGTCCAGGCCTTCAGCAGAGCTCATCGTATCGGTCAGAACAAGAAGGTGATGATCTACCGCTTCGTCACCAAGGCCTCTGTAGAGGAGAGGATTACTCAGGTAAACAGGACAGGTGCAATACTAAACAGCTGCTTAGATCTGGATACTGCATGACCAGAGAGGAACAATACATTTTGTGAGAACTTGTATTTTACTTTATAATTGTACTACCAGACTGGGTAAAAAACCTTGAAACATCGGCCCTGAGCTATGTACACAAAGCAAAACTGATTTGTGATAAATATTTGAGGAAGAAACTGTCACATTTTAGATCTTTTCTTACCTGACACATTAACAAATCACCCTCTTTCTCCTGTGCTCCCTCCATCTTTCCTCCCCTGTCCAGGTTGCCAAGAAAAAGATGATGTTGACTCACTTGGTGGTCCGACCTGGTCTCGGATCCAAGACGGGCTCCATGTCCAAACAGGAACTGGACGACATCCTCAAATTTGGAACAGAGGAGCTCTTCAAGGATGAGACAGAAGGTGAGAGTTGAAACAGTGCAGATGTGCAGGAGCTGAGAGCCTCGGTGGGACTGAAGAAGTGAGATATATTTGAACTGATGTTTGTGTTCAGGTGAGAACAGGGAGGAGGACAGCAGCATCATTCACTACGATGACAAGGCCATCGACCGTCTGCTGGACAGGAACCAGGACGCCACAGACGACACGGAGCTGCAGAGCATGAACGAGTACCTGAGCTCCTTCAAGGTGGCTCAGTATGTGGTCAAAGACGAGGAGGAAGAGGTGAGCCCCTGCGGATATGTGGAGTGAGGATGAAGAGTGCAAATCAGTCATTCCTTAATGTAGGAAGTCTGTTTCACAGTAGTGAGCCACACTCAAATTATAAATGCTTTTATATTTTAAACATCTGGACTCTGTCAGCTCTTTTCTTATATGACTGATGGTCCTGATGATGTATTTGTTTGACATAAAGAACAAAAACAGATGTAACAGAACTAATAACAGCATTTGAAAGGCCGGCGCTCTCTGGGAAATGTTAGTATAGTTCGTAAACACTCAGCGTTTCTCCATCTTTTCTCCTTGGCTCAGGAGGAGGAGGTGCAGCGAGAGATCATCAAGCAGGAGGAGAGTGTAGACCCAGATTACTGGGAGAAGCTGCTGCGTCACCATTATGAGCAGCAGCAAGAAGACCTTGCCCGCAACCTGGGCAAAGGCAAACGTATTCGCAAACAGGTCAACTACAACGACGGCTCTCAAGAAGACAGAGGTACGAGGAGAGGTGATATTCGCTTTAATCTTCAAAAATACATTTTGTAAAGTGTTTGGACAATGCTTCGTCACAAGAAAAGGCAGCGTGGGGGACACTTGCATACACATTGACATTCAACCTTCCAGGTTGCATAATGGGAGGCAAAAATAGCCAACTTTCAGGTTGGAGAATGTGCTGACCTTGCATCTCCCTGCTGGTGTTCTCATAAAGACTTTCAGCATATAGGTTATTATCTCTTTTGTTTACATGCACGTTAGGAACTGCATTAAGCCAAAAACTCCTTTTTAGGGTTGAAATTTAATAGTGGAGTGAAGTTACAGAACTACTACCTAAATAAAGAGATGGTAGAAAGAGGACACACATTATTTAGAGCTTTCCAAAGAAGGCTTGTTAACTTTGTGCAGTGAAACCAAATTACCCTAATTGAACTTTTTCATAGTTGTCTTTGCTGCAGATTTAATTCGGGGTTTTTTAATCACACTAAACTACAGTCACACTAGGACACATATGTTCCAACTGCCATGACGGTTCAACAAGCACTTGTGACGAAATAGCTCTTGTTGAAGTTTGGACTGTAAATTAAAAATCTATTTTTTTTTCTCTCATAGCTGATTGGCAGGATGACCAGTCTGACGGCCAATCAGATTACTCTGTGGCGTCTGAGGAGGGAGACGAGGACTTTGATGAGCGAACAGAAGGTAAGAACCGTTAAGTGTTTGTCTGTAGAGGTAAAGAGCATTGAACAGTATTGATCTTAAGCTAATGTTGGTTTTATAAAACATAAATTTTCTTCTGCACCAGAGGTTAAGTAGCTCCAACCTCTCATGATTCTTTAATTATTGTATATACAGGATAAAATTAGGAAAGGTAACGGTCCCTCATTTGCTCCTAAACCATAAAGAGAGCTAATAAACAACAACTCCTATAAAGAAGCAGTAAAAGGACCTGCTGTATTACATGTTTATTCTCATATAGATATAATTGATGCAGCACACCTGCCTCCCTGCAGAGCAGCTGTTATCATCTGTATAACCACCACATCTGTTTCCTCTCTGCAGCCAACTCTCGCAGGCCGAACAGGAAGGGCCTGAGGAATGACAAAGACAAACCGCTGCCCCCCCTGCTGGCCAGGGTGGGAGGCAACATCGAGGTGAGCAGCTCAGCGCTCGCCTGGGATTGTTTGTTATCCCTCCTTCAAACAGCTGCGTTGGATTTTTCATGGTTCCAAAGTATTGTAGTGTTTTTGTAAATGAGCGCTCTCTGTGTCCCAGGTGTTGGGTTTCAACTCTCGGCAGAGGAAGGCCTTCCTGAACGCAGTGATGCGTTATGGGATGCCTCCCCAAGATGCCTTCACCACCCAGTGGCTGGTCCGAGACCTTCGAGGGAAGTCTGAGAAAGAGTTCAAGTAAGAAACGCAAAAATGCATTAAACAGCCTCTTTTTAAATTCTTCAAGATGTTTAAAATACGTGAAATTGTATTTGTTGGGAGAGAATATGAATATCTAAGGAGAGGCATGTCCTTCATCAACCCTTCTCTCTCTCTCTCTCTCTTTCAGGGCCTACGTCTCTCTGTTTATGCGTCACCTCTGCGAGCCCGGAGCCGACGGGGCCGAGACATTCGCAGACGGCGTCCCCAGAGAAGGGTTGTCACGGCAACACGTCCTCACCCGTATCGGTGTTATGTCACTTATTCGCAAGAAGGTAACAAACGCTGCTTTGTCATTTTTACTTTGTCTCACTTCAAACCTAACTCCTGTTGTTAGAATGAGAGAGAGAACGCAATGACGACAGTAAAAGGCGGAATAAAGAAGCTGCTGGTCGTCTTTAAACAAAACTATTAGAGAAATTCATTGATAATAAAATTAAGAAACCGTGATTTGCTGCCGTAGTGCCACTCTGAGGTAACTAACTGAGGTCTGTGCTCTTGGTGTTTTCCAGGTTCAGGAGTTCGAGCATGTGAACGGTCAGTGGTCAATGCCCTGGATGGCCGAGCTGGAGGAGAGCAAGAAGGCCGCAGTTCAGCCCGACTCGCCGGGAAAAACCCCGTCCACCGGCACCCCCGCCGACACACAGCCCAACACACCTGCTCCAGGTAACGCACGCACACACACTCACTGCTCTTTTTATAGTGACTTTACAAAGTTAAAACAACATAATGAATGAATCTGTTTGTCTTTGTAGTTGACGACTCCTCCTTGAAGAATGACGAGGCAGAGAAGGAAGTGAAGAAAGAGGGCGAGGCGGAGAAGAACGGCAAAGAGCCCGCAAAGGCCAGCAACGAGGTAAAGACACAATGATGTGTTTGAGTGACGTAACTAAAAGTAAGATCTTTTCATTATGCATTTATTTTTCCAAGATGTTTGACGAAATCGGAATGTTTCCCTCCAGGTGATCGCCATCCCAGACGACGACGAGAAGAGTCCGCCAGCGGAGCCGGAGAGCAAGAAGAACGGGGAGGAGCCGATGGAGACGGACAAACCGAGCAACGGAGAAGCAGAGACCGTTAAAGAGACGGAGGGCGAGAAAGAGAAGGAGGGAGAGGGAGAGAAGAAGAGTCCAGAGGGAGGAGAGGAGACAAAGTCTCCTTCAGAGGCCAAGACGGAGGGGTCAGAAGTCAAATCTGAGGACTCTGAGGTCAAAGGTAAAACAGTTTGTTCTGTTTTTACTACTTCCAGAAATCAGTAAGCTCAGCAACTAATTATTCTGTATTTAAAGCAAAAGCACAACCGCATCAAACGGGTATAGCAGCCAGTGTTGGCTGAATTTCAACAGAACATATTTTTTAAACTTGCACATCTCTTCAAGTGTTGTGCTCGCTCTCTCACTTTCCAAACATATTTTATATGAAGTTTAGGATTCACGTCTCCAGACTGAGTCACAGAAAGTGTGATTCTGCAGTCTGAGTGAAACCTGCTAAAGTCCCTGTTGTCTTTATTTGGTCCTTAATGTTTCCTCTCTGTTTCCGTCTGTTTTGCAGCAGAAGAAAAGAAAGAAGAAAAGACAGAAAAGATGGACACCACTTCTCCTGCTGACGAAAAGAAAGGTACCAAACCCCGCACTCTTGTTTTTCTTTTTAAATATTTCCCACTGGACAGCGTAGTAAAGGACATAACTGCAGTATAGTTGAGTATCATTCTCAGGTTAATCCCCTAATGTCTTCACGTCCTGTCGCCTGTCGTCGTTAATTGTCTCCTTTCACCCTCCTGCTGCAGATCTGAAGGAGGAGAAGGAGGCTCAGAAGCCGGAGGATGCGACCAAACTGCAGAACGGAGACAGCAGCAAGGAGAGTGGCGCCTCAGTGGCCGCCGCCACTACCGCCACCGCTACTGCCACTACCGGAGCAGCCAGCGAGGAGAAGAAGAAGGCAAAGACCAGATTCATGTTCAACATCGCAGACGGAGGATTCACAGGTACACACACACACACACACACGCTTTATTTCCCCTCCCTGGTCTTCTCTCTTCTCTTTTCGCTTTAGTTTCGTGTCTTTTGAGCCTTGTCTGCCCTCTTTCCAGAGCTGCACTCGCTGTGCAGAAACGAAGAGCAGGGCAGCCACAGTCACCAAAGAAACCTTTGAGCGATGTGCCGTCGCCATGACTACTGGCTGCTGGCTGGAATCATACAGTATCCTTTAAAATTGACACACAGACCCTGTTAAATGCTGATGTGTGATTGCTGTCTTCTTCTCACATTAGAGCTGAAATGATTAGTTGACTAATCAGTTATTTTGTTGTCACAATATTTAAAATCTGGTTCTTAAATATGAATATTTGCTATTTTTTTGGCCACCTTAATACAAAGTTGAAGGGGGCTAGCTAAACTTGGGTTTTGGGATGTTAGCTGTTATTATTATTGCCAGTATGAAGCACAGCACACCAAGGCCAGGCTGCATTCTCAGTCCTGTTTCTTCTTTTATGGCTTTCTGTAATGAGAGTGAGGTGTTTGTGTGGATTAAGAATTATTTATTTTGATCAGTTCAAAGGACCTTTCAAGGATTGAAAGGAAGTTATCAAGCCAGGCTGTGCAGTGAGTGACCTTTTAAAAAAAAAGAGAAGACAGTTAAAGTGTGTAACATTTAAGAGGATCCGTCACTGTAGCCCAGAATGTCTACAGTAGCCCAGAGTAGACAAACCAAACACTGGTTCTAGATGAGACTTTTTTCATGAGTTTAGCGGTCGGTGTAGTTTCTCCCACACGCTTGGCAGGCTGAGCTGCACTCAAATGGTTGCAATCTGCAACTTCACTGGCTAGATGACTCTTACACACTGGTCCTATAAATTAAATGTTTACATTAGTTAGTTATCTATACACAATGTTCATTATTTATTGTCCTTCAAACATGCACAACACAACACAAGACAATAATGTTGTTACACTTGACCTCGGCATCTCTCAGACACGGCTATGCTCGTTGGCAGGATGTGCAGAACGATGTGAGGTTTGCCATCCTCAATGAGCCTTTCAAAGGGGAGATGAGCAGAGGAAACTTCCTGGAGATCAAGAACAAGTTTCTTGCCCGCAGGTTCAAGGTGAATTGAGCGTGCTCACTGTTACCACGTTTCCCCGATGTGTGTGTGTGTGTTTATGTCTGTCTGTGTTTCTGTCATATCTCACTGTTGAGCATGTTGTTTGGTTTCCTGTACAGTTATTGGAGCAGGCGTTGGTGATTGAGGAGCAGTTGCGCAGGGCGGCTTACCTGAACATGACAGAGGACCCGGCCCACCCCTCTATGGCCCTCAACACTCGCTTCAGTGAGGTTGAGTGTCTCGCCGAGTCCCACCAGCACCTCAGCAAGGAGTCCATGTCTGGAAACAAGCCTGCCAATGCAGTTCTGCATAAAGGTAAATCAAATGAAAGATTAAAAGAGATAGGTATAGTGAGGGTTCTCATGGACATGGAAAATATAGTAATTCTTCATCTTCATCAAGTCATCTTACAGTAATGTTCCTTTAGCATGAACTATAACAGTTTGTTGTGTCTGAGCAACAGTTTCCACACCTGTAACAAGCATCTGAATATGAAGAGCGTGTGTGTGAGAGAGGATGTAGTGTTGGCCGTTACTGTGGTAGTATCAGGAAAGTATTTAAATCACTAAAAAGTACTTCCCTAAGTATTGCTGCTAACGTAACCAGCAACAAACATCAGGTGCAACACTGTGGTTATTGATACAGCAGCTTCTATATTTGAACAAACAAAGCTTTTCATTACCTCTTCAGGAAATAACACTGCAACCACCCAGTCCATCTTTGAGGTTATAGAGATGACAAAGGGTGTGACTAACAGTTATTCTTTGAGAGAGGGGATGACACGCAGCAAAGGGCCGCAGGTCAGAATCGAACCCTGGGCAGCTGCAGGAAGGGCTTAGCCTCGGTACATGGGTCGCCAGCTCTACCCACTGAGCTAACCGGGCGCCCCTGATTCTGATTTCTGATGTTTATTTTACTTGGGAAATAAAGCAAAATGGTCAAATTCCAATTGTTTTCTAATGTTACAGGAAAAGCGTATTGTATGTAACATTTCTAAACTTTCAAACTTTTTATTGATAATACTGTACTGTAAGGACGCTTTTTCCTTTTCTATGCCCAATTGAATTGAGAATTGTTTTCCTTTGCATAGTATCCTATGAATACACTGTAGACTTATGTAACACACAGATACATGGTGACTCATTTTGGGGGGCTAA